GTTGTTGCATAGAGTTCCAGTTCATTTTTTTCAGTTCTCTGCTGTACGTGTTGTAGCTGCTAAGTGAAACCACGCATCAGATAAATACATCACTTCAGCAACAGATTGCTGATCAATTGTCTGACATGCTCTGAAATACGTGGGTTAAAAATATTTGGGGGCACGGGCTTTTCTAGCTTGGAAAAAAATCTGTTTCCCGTTGTGCTGTGGTTGGTTCCTGCACCTCTGAGCTCACAGGAGCACTGCCACTGTCCCCAGGCTGGTGCTGGGCTGTGCCCGCAGGGGGAATGCAGGGGCTGTGCCCTGCCCCTTCCCAAGCACTGCTCTCAGGACAGGCGTGCCTGCTGCCCTGCCAGGCTCTGCCCAACAAACACAACCACTGAGATGTTCTGTTCCACTGCTGTATCTTAAGACTTGGATATTGTTCTGAAGCACCTGATTTTTCAGAAAATTAGTTTAGAAGTTCTGATACTTGGATTATTACATTTTTTTTGTCTTTGGTTGGAATAGAAAACTACAAACTTTCTGTAGCCTACAGTTGGGTCAAAATTACTGTGCTTGACTCACCTATACTTTCATTCCAGTCATGCCAGAACTTCACACTTATAAGATATGGATTTCAAATAGCTACATTATCAAATCTCTTTGATGACTAGTTCCTGATATTCAACCAAAAATAATTCTAATACTTTCATTGAAACAACCATTGCTCTCAGGAACCCGAGATTCTTTTAAGTATTGAGTAATTTAAACTCTACTTGATGCCCTCTACTTCTCATACTGCAGAAAACAGTGAACAACCACCTCTCCAGCAGCTTCACTCCACTAACTCCTGTTGTTTTTGTTGTCCAGTGACATTTTTTCCATGCTGAAGTGCTTTGGACAATTGATTTTGGTCAAAGACCATCACAGTCATGTTTCTCTGCCACTGCTGCAACCCATCAAAGCTTTCTCATGTTCATCTCAGGAAGAAAGGGTAATTAAACAAGTCCCCATAGACTAAAGGGTCCTGGAGCTGCTGGCTCCCAGGAACTCAACCATTCCTACATCAACAGGTACCAGAGACAGAAAGCCTAATAAAAACCCCATCACCACCTGTCACTCAGACTGATCCTGGGCTGACCTTTGAATATTTCCTCGCTGGTGTAATTCTCTGTGGTTTGCTGATAACCTAAGGCAGATGCATGTGACAACAGAAGAAATACTTTGAACCTGATATACTGCTGGGTTATGGGTTTGTGCCGTCCTTTTGCTGGGACTGTGAAGCAGGCAGAGAGAGTTCTTGCTGTAGGATCTGCTGAGAACCAGAGGCATTTACTGTCCCACTGGGGTCTGGCTGAAGACCCAGCTCTTCTCTGCTATCCAGAGCAGTCCTCCTGGGACAGACCCTTCAGCATTTAGCTGAAGGGCAATAAATGCTGGGCGTTTCTAAGCAAAACAAACCTAGTCCCATCAGCAGATGTTCCTGCAGCCAGTGGAAACTGGCATACATAGGAAATGTGGCTTCCAGGGGCAAAAAAAATGGATTTATGGAGTGGGAAGTTTTCGAAGGGGCTCCTGCAGTCAAAAGGGACAGCTCCTACCAGACCTGCCAATGACTCTTGCTGTGTTCTCAGACACTTTCTCAGTGTCTTTGTCTCCCCTTTGTTCTCACACCAGGCCCATCTCAACTGCTGCCCTGAGGAGTCTCTGTCTGCAGTCCCAGTCTCTGTGTGTCACACAGCTCTGCAGCAGGGAAGGGCACTGCCAGAGGGGATTTTGTACCACTGGAGTTGCACCAGGCTCTGAACCCAACAGGTTAATCTGGCAGCAGCCATTTCCTGGCAGCACAGCTGTGTCCACGCCAGGAACTGTGCTGGCTCAGCTCCAGTGGCCAGGTGGGATTTATGTTTTTTTCAGACCCAGGCTGACATCAGTGTATGAGCAAAAGTTTCTAATGTGGGCCTAAAAGAAACATCTGCGACATCTCTGACCTAAAAAGCTCCGTTACCTCTGCATGTAGCGATAGGACGTCTCATCCCTCAACTCCAGCTACAAAACCCCTTAATTTGTGTCCTCCACAAAGGAGGTGGGGAGACTGGCAATGCTGATGGGTCCCAGGAACACCAGAAATGCATGATGGCTTTTCCTGTGACAGCAGTGCTCGACTGCTGCACTAACAAGGCTGGTGTGTGAGGGACACGGGATGGTGATGCACACAGAGCAGAACCCACCCCAGCTTTGGAAAGCACACAAAGAGCACCTGTAGGAACATGGCCATGCCAAGCCTTTTGTTCAAATGGGGTTTAGTTGACTTGTTTAATTACTGTACTCACAGATGTCCTACTTTCTATTCTAGTACAAGGACAGAAAAGTTACATCAAATTAATATGCATTTAGAAATGAGTGAACACATTGAACATTAGTGTCAGATTAGCTGTTTCCTTACTGATATTGTGTGTCTTTTTGCTATAGGACCTCATTAGCCTTGCTAGACAAAAAAAGCCCTTCTTGTATGAAGCCCCTCAGAACAATAATGTGAGCTGGAGATCTTACACAGTTTGAGAAACAGCTTTGAGCAGGAAACAAAGTGATGTGAAAGGGCTTTTCTTCATGTGCCGTGTGTTAGAAATGACAGGTTATTTTCCTTATGGCTCCGTGTGGGTTACTTCAGTATTTCCTTTTGGAAAGCCACAGTACATCCAGCATACCTCACTCCAGAGAGCCAGATAAAAACATCAGTCAACGAAAAAGACAAACAGAATAAGCAATTACTAAGTGCCATCCCTATACACATGCCAGGCTCACACCACTTTACCCACCACTGTATGAACTGCTGTCCCCAAGTGCATCCTCCACCACCCTTAAATACTTTTTAGCCTTTTACAGGTATTTTTTCTGATTCACTTGAATTTAAAAACAAAGCAATCTTTACTGAGAGAAATTCTGTACCTCATGTGACAGACACCTTGACCCAGGACCACTCAGACATCCTTAGACTTGTGTCAAATAAAAAAACCCCACCAGTGCCAATGCAATATTAACGCAGGTCATGTTATAAATGTGGAGAATGAAAAAGATCTTGAAAGATGGAGTGAAACCTTTTGTATTCAGGCGGTATAATACACGGCTTTGATTACTAAATATGTGCACTAACCTAAGGATTGTTATTTTAAGGGAAATATAATGAAATGCACGGGACATGTAGAGCATAAAGTGACATGCCTGTAAAAAGCCTATCTGTAGCATTTCCTGACTTAAAAAAAACCCCAACACTTGAAAACTTGATTCCTTCATAAAATCTGCAATATGGTACATTAATAATAACTCAGTGTTACGTAAAGCTAAAATCTGCTGCCAAACATGAAGGGTGCCAAGTTAAAGCTGACTTGCAGATAACCATTATCACAGTGGAGAGTTCTTCCTGGATAAGAACTTAGACACTGAAAATGAGTTTTCACAAATCCAAGCAGTCCTTAACTCGTGTAAAATGTGAACATTTTTTTTTCAGTGACAAAAATCCTTTGGCCTTATTAATCCAGTGGATGAAGAGTGTTCAAGAGCATGACCCCACAGGGCAAACGTTAAGGCATAAGTTGGGATATCTATTTTGGAGTTTCTGTTCCAAATTCACTAAAGAGGAGATTTTGTCTTTTAGTTCTCCCATCTCACTGGGATGCAAGTAAAAGGAGAGGGGAAGGGAGGAATAATGAAAATTACCATCTGCTCCTCTTTATCCAGATCACTCTTTCTGCTTACTTTCATAAAAAGCAGCCAGAAACATTTTGCATAAAGCAGTTATGTTAACATGCCATTATTAAAATGTTTGAGTTTGGTTCTGCCTGAGCCAATGTTCAAAACCTCATCCTGGCTACTTAAACCCAAACATCATTTGTGCACCTGGTTTTTTAAATCAGTACCTTTAGTAATGCGTTTTGCAGGTCTCTCTTCCTTTATAAAAACCTGCTTTACAGAACCTTGCCATACCCAGAGAAACAGGAAGGGATCAGCTACAGGCAGGATGTAAAAACCTCACTGCAGAGACAGGAAGCAGAAACAATATTACCAATCAATAACGAAGAGAATTAACACAGAGCTCAGCTTTTACCAGAGAGCACAGGCTGCAGGTGCTGTAGCCAACATATTCATTGCATGGACAAGCAGATTTCTATCAGTTGGAATGCTTCACTTCCACATGTAATATCAAAAAAATACAGTCAGCATCCGAACTGCCTGGACCAGGTAATGGATCAGACCCTGATCACCTCCCTGTGCTGAGATCAGCCTCCCTCGCTGCACTCAGCATTAATCCCAGCTCATCCAGGTCAGAGGGAGCTGGAACCCACATTGGATACCCCTCCCATTTCAAATACAAACCCAAGAAAATGATACTGATATATTTCAGAGGCTTCTATAACACTCCAAGTCCATTTAACTGATCAAAGAAGGTTAAAGAAATCACAGCAAATAACAAAAAAAGGACCTAGCTGGGAACCTGTTTTTCCAGCATTGTGGATACCTTATTCATTTAATTACTTTCTTTTCTTTCACAAGTTTCCTGTTTCAGACATTTTAAGAAAAAGCTGTATTTGAGATGTCAAAAAAACCCCCAACTCTTCTCAAGAACCGGCCATAGTCTCTCTAGGGGTTATTTTAGGCAATTCTAATTTTACAGTTTCCTCTTTAGGTTGGATAAGGATCTTGCATAGTGTCAGAGATTTGGTATGTGGACACAATCTTGGCCCCCGGACATGAAGTTGTCATAGCTACTCTGGATGCTTTCTAAACATGGCCAAATCCTCCACAGGATCCTTCCCAGGTTTCATGGTCTGCAGGGGGCTTCTCTTTAAAAGACAAGAGTTTGCAAGACTGTGTAACACAGTTTTTCAGGTAGAGTTTGTCGTTGTTCTTTTGCAAATACACATTTTTTTAAATTATAGAAGAGGGAAAGGGTGAGAAAGGGAGGCTACAGACCAACCAACAGACAGTTCATCATCTGAAAACAGAAGAAAATGGCCCAATTCTTTCATGCAAACTATACAATATATTCTGGTTTGATCACAGCACAGTAAAACTGGAATAAATTCATTAACACCAGAGAAGCTGAGCTTGGATTATACCAGAACAACTGAGAGCAAAGCCAGGCCTTTGGTTTTTACATTTTGTTCAGCTGTCCTATAAGTTGAGAAGAATCATAGATCAGCAGCTCATCGTCTCTGGAAATACACGGAAATGAAGTCATTTTCTTTTGGGCCTAAAGGTAGAAGAATGGTTTAATTTCCTTTAGCTTCAAAGCAATAATCCTGGACTGAGGTATGGTCATTCTTCAGAATATGGGATAATAAACCCCATTTTCCCAACTGTATTTTACTCTGCATATTCAGGTTGGTCTCTATTCTTTGCCATTGTCAATGCAAGAGGCAAGAGAATAAATTGTGAACAGGGATTGTTGATTCCAAAGGTGACTACAGGGAATATTTACAGCAGCAAAGTTAACAGGGGAAATTAGTAAATGGAAAGTGGTTTAGAACAAGCTCTTCAGCAAGAACTATTGCCATAAAATACTGTTATTGAATAAAAAAAAATTTTAATAGAAAACCAACCCATCTTAGTAGGTTAGGTCTGCTTTGAGTAGGAGGTTGGACCAGATGACCTTCAAAGTCCCTTCCAGTCTAAATCATTCCATGATTCTAAACAAACCTGATTTTTCTTGTAAACGTATTTGTTCAAGAGACTAAAAGAGATTTAAAAATCAAGATTGATTGGATAGGTGCTTACTATAATAGCAAAAATTACAAATAGTCACTTACAAGTAGCAAAAATATTACTTCCTCGGAAATACAAAAAATAATGGCCTGTCATTTGATCACTCACGTGAAGTCTGGTCAGAGAAAAATGCAGTGTAGAACGCTTTTAGCAGCTTCTCGAAGCTTTCCCACTGCTGGAACACAACCTTCTGGTGATGTGTATCCCTGCTTCTCTCTCACCTGCAGTCCTCTGGTTGGATTCCAAAAGACCTAGGAAAGGAAGTAATGTTGTTGAATACAAAATTTTATGAACATCATAATGGAAAATGTTTCAATGTATAACTTACAGGAAATTTAGCCTTAATATGGGATATGCATCACTCACAAACAGGGCACTTAATTTTTATTGCCTTGTTGGTTAAGTTCATTATGTCATAACTGCCAGCAACTTTTCATCAAAACAGGAGGTTGTTCTACCATAGTTTTTACATTTTACTCCTCTGGAGCATTTGTAAGCCTTGGCCACTGCACAAGGTGCTATAAAGACACCAGCTATAAAGGCAGTTCCTCCCTGGAAAAGCTATCGTAGGACACTGCCATTGGACACAACACACCCAGAAACAAAGAAAAGAGAGACCCCTGTAGTGGCATTTGGCACAACCTCAGGTAGGTTGTCACTTGGACAATACCCCCCTGTTGGGAGATCACTGGTGAGACCTGTATGACTCCATAAATGCTGCTCAGTTGTGCTTACCCAGCCAGGTTAACTCCAGGGAAAACAAATAACTAATCCACGAAAATTGTGTTGCCCTCAATATATTCCTGGGTGGGAAGATAGGATGCTGGGCAGGACATCACAGCAACTCAGCACAGAGAGATTCAAATTTGAACCCTGGAGCCCCCGTACATCTGGAGAAGGCAATCTCCCTGACCTTCCCAGAGCATGGTATTTTGGGGGCTTTTTCTGCTGCTGTTCTCTCACTTAATCCTTTTTAAAGTCACTGCCAAGGAGGAAAGAAGATCCAAAGATGAGAACTTAAGAGTTCTCCATGGTCCCACGGGTGGGGACTTGGCTTAGCTGGAGAAGAAGATTGTTTCCTCCTTCAGTGTCCCTCTTCCCCCTTCCTACTCGTGCCTCACTACATCACCCCTTCATACTCTTGGAATATATGACTCGAGTTTAACTGTAACCAAACTCTACACTGCACTCCAGAAAGGCTCAGCTAAAAGACCTGATGAGGAAACGCTGCTGAGAAACATCTGGGCTTTGTTTCATGCAACTGAAGAGTTAAAGTTATTGTCCTAAATAGGCTAATGTATAAAAGCTGCAAACACCCAACTGCAGTGTCAGGCTCCCAAACTGTACAAATGTATTTGTCTTTCATATTAGTACAAGTTATTTGAACAGAAATAGCACATTGTAACAGCCTAACAAGAAGCAGTCTTTCTGATGACGTTTGAGACTTCTTTGCTGCACTGTATGGAAATATTTAAGACTTAAAAGATTTATATTAAAAAATAGCATTTTAAGTGGCTCAGTCCTGTTCCCAGTAAAGTGAAAGAGGGTTTTACCATCAGCTTCAATGAAAATGGCAGAAGGGCCAAGATGCTTTTTAACACGATTTTTTTCCCCTGTGTTGTTCCAAGAGTAGAGAAGTCTCTCCAAAGGCCCCCCTACTTCTCCTCCAAAAAGAAACTCAATCAAGTTATCAGGTGTCAGTCAGTGCCATGGCCAGACATGAAGGTCCATTGAGACCCCCTTGCAGGTGGCAGAGTGGGCTCTGAACATCAGAGCTGCCCAGGCACAGCACGCTGGGCACCGGGATAACCAGGCACTGCCAGGGCTGGGCTGGGAAAGCTGCTGCTGCCCTTTAACACACTTCTCACAATATCCAGCACACTGTCCTATTTGCTCTGAGACTAGAATTCTCACCTTACACACACGCTTGACAGATAAAACTCAACATGAACTAGTAAGTGATGAAATCACATCCTGTAGAGGGATTTGTGTTTGGGTAAACTCAGCAGCCTTTGATGCATTTTCCTTTTTTTTGATTGACAGATGCTAAATTACTGACATAAATGAAGAAACAGTCACAAAAAATTTTAAAATCCGTATTTCCATTTAAATAACACAAGGACAAACACTGTTTCTCTTCAACTGAGTTTTTCCACCAGCCCCCAGGATTAAAATGTTTTTCTTTGTTGGTTTTTATGGGTTTTTCCCCTCAGATTTCTTAATACATCTTCAGATCATGCATTTTGCATTTCTGTTGATCCTTAAGTGATATGTGAATAGCATAAAAATTTACAGGAAACATGGAAATGATGCATCCTAATATTTAGTTTATTCTTCCTTCTTCTCCTTCTTATTATTTATCTTCCTTTTTATTCATTTATTTAGTTATAAGATCTGTTGGAAACTACACACTATGCATATATCTAGGGCCCACATTGATAAGTTCTTGATCTAGTTTTGGTATGGTTAAATGTCACACAAATTATGAAGAAAAGATGTTTATGCGCTTCCTGAAAGTTGTATTTAAAAAACTGTCTGAGCACTATTTAAGGTGGTAATACATATTGCACTGGAACAGGACTCACCTGGTATCAGTGTTCAGGCCTGCATTGTCTTTTCTTTTTTAATAAGTCAGCAGTGAGTTGTTTCTGACACACCTGCACTGTAGTTTTCAGCTGAGCACATTTCACTGAGTGAGGCAGACGTGTAGGACAAGCAGCTAAATTGGTTCCCAAACATTCACCAGGACTGAGCACCTGAGGAACCAACTGCTCATCAGAATTAGAGAATCCCAGAATCCCAGACTGGTTTGGGTTGGAAGGGTCCTTACGGATCATCCAGTGCCACCCCTGCCATGGGCAGGGACACCTTCCTCTATCCCAGGTTGTTCCAAGCCCCGTCCAACCTGGCCTTGGGCACTTCCAGGGCTGGGGCAGCCACAGCTTCTCTGCCCAACCTGTGCCAGGGCCTCCCCACCCTCACAGGGAAGAACTGCTTCCTAATATCCAGTCTAACCCTGCTCTCTCTCAGTGTGAATCCATTCCCCCTTGTCCTGTCACTATCTGTTCTAGAAAATAGTCCTTCTACACTGTTTGAAAACAGACTGCTATAGTGAATAAATAAAGTAATAATAAATATTCACCCCCAGATTGCCTGGGTTTTTTCTATGAATAATCAACCTGCATTGCCACTAAAACTGAGTCTCAGAGGGTGAGCCACAGCATTTGCATATGCAGATAAACACAAGAAATGCTTTAGCTGAAGCTGAGGGTTTATAATCCCCAGTTATAGGTAAAGTCTTCTATAATTTCCTGCAGTATTTGCTCTTTGGGTTACTTATTCTTGAAGTATTCTTGGAGTTGTAGCAAACTTGGAGCTGTGTCAGGTTGGATCTCAGGAAAAGGTTCTTCCCCCAGAGGGTGGTTGGCACTGCCCAGGCTCCCCAGGGCAGTGGGCACAGCCCCAAGGCTGCCAGAGCTCCAGGAGGGTTTGGACAACGTTCCCAGGGACAGGGTGGGATTGTTGGGGTGTCTGTGCAGGGCCAGGAGATGGACTTTTATGATCCTGTCAGGCCAGAAAGTGAGTGGGTAACAACCAAATCAGATACAGCCATTGGGGCACAGAAACATGGCAGGCACAAATCTGATGTCCTCCCAACACACTCCTGTCCATGGGAAAACCCGTGGGTTTCCTTAGGTCTCAGTGTAAAAAAGCTCTGACCCTGTAGCACACATTAATCTACGCCCCACATTAGGGTTTGGCCTTGCACCCTTCAGGCCCAGAGCTGAACAGCACAGGTGGCACAGGGAGATGGGCTGGCTCACTCACCGCTTTTCCCCAGCTGTGCTTCGCTGGGGTCCTGCTTGAAGAGCCCTAAGTGACCCTTTGAGCTTAAACGCAGCCAGACAAACTTTTATCCCTGACAGTTAGGAGGGAAAACACGGCAATGTCACGCAAACGTGATGCAGTGACTTAATTAGAACCCAGTTAAGAGAGACCGAGAGAAGCTGTAAATCTCCTCAGAGTGCTGGGGGGCTGTGGGGGGAGTGTCAAGCCCTGGAAGTGCTGGGAAAGAGTAACACAAGAGCGGGGAAAAAACCCTCACAAACCCAAACCGAAACAAACCAACACGCATTTTACAGGGTGGTGGTGGGGAAAGTTAGAATCTAGCTGTATATTTTAAAAGGAAAAGGTTAGAAAAGCCTTCAGAGAGAGCGCCCAAAGAGTTAACTTCCAGCAGCGCTTGAGGCAGCAAAACCTGGGAAGGCTCCCGGCGCCCTCTGGTGCGAGGCGGCAGCAGGAGTGGAAATTTCCTCTGGAAACCAGCTTTGTTCCAAAGTTCAGGCAAGTAAAATGACTCAAACGTGCCGACAGGACGAGGAGTAACTTCCCTCCTCATGGAGAATTTTGCTCGGGGGGGGGGGGAACTTAATTTGGGGGTGATAGAGAGCGAAGTGGGGAGGTTGCTTCATATTTTTATTATCATTATTTTGTCTTGATTTCTTTTGCCCCTTTATTTCCACTCCGAAGTCTCAATTTGGGTTGGCTGCAATACGAAGAAAGGAGCCCTGAAAACCGGGCAGTGAATGAAAACCTCACAGGATCCTTGGAATAATGGTAGCAGCGTGACAAACATCTTTAAAAAACCCAAAAATAAATTAAAAAACCCGTGCACGCCTGTTTCCCTCCCGTCTGGAGGAGGAGAAACGTCTTCTTCCTGCACGGCTCTAATACTAGCAGGAAAAAGCCGGGGAAAAAAAAAAAAAAGCAGCATTCTTGACTTCAAGCACTTCTCCCTTAAGATTGGAGGATGCTCCCTAACCCCAATCGACACCCTTATTTCAACTGCCGGGAGAGCGAGGGGTGCTCTCTGCTAAAAGGCTGCGAATTCACTTTTTCTGACGTCCGTTTTTACATCTTTACAATCATTAACGGCAATAATAGCTACTTTTGAGGAACAAACGCACAAAGCCCACCTATAAACGCAAAGGGGCCGACAGAGCAAAACGGGAGAGCAAACCTCAGGGTCGCTCCTTCGGGTACCTGCTGAGCAAACATACTCTGGTTTTAACCCCTAAAAAAAAATAAGGCGGCGGGGGAAGAAAGGACGTGCTGACTGGGGACACATACACATACACACACACACACACAGAGCTTTCCAGCTCATCTCTACCAGCTGTTTTTCCTTCATTCCTAATATCTTCCAGCAAATCATCTCCCAACCCCTCCCAGGAGACCTGACTTTTTGGCAGGTACCACTTCTTGGCCGCGGGGGCCCCGGTTGCGATGGTCCCGGTCGGGACCTGGGTTGATGTTATGCTGGTATATATGATGTTATGCTGGTATATATGATGTTATGCTGGTATATATGATGTTACCGGGTTTTCAGCCGGCCTTGGGCTGCAGCTCTTCCTCTCGGCACCCTTTCCACGGGGGCAGCAGCCGCTGGGGTTCTCCCTCAGTGGTGGATAAATTTACCCTAGAAACAAAACATAGGTGTGTTTTATTAATTTTTTTCTTAATGAAGCTTTAAAAAAAAATACATTTTTGTTTGGTTTTGAGTGTTTGCGTACTTTTTTTCCTTTAAAAAAAAAAAAAAAAAGGGGCTTTTTATTCAAGTGCTTTCACCTCCCGCCCTGCCAACGCTTGACAAAGTCTGGGGAAATAAGCGGCAAGTCCCTGACGGCTGCTCTCCTTTTTGCATACCAACCAAAACGCGTTTCCTGAGAAAAAAAGAAAATACCAAACTAAACACGCTTTCTTTAGTGAAAGCCAGCAGATTTCTGTTGTCGGGATGCGGGCGAGGCTCCGCACCTACTCCGGTTTGTAGGCGCACACGCGTGCGACTCTTGCACCCCAAGCTCCCCATCGAAGTGCTTTCAAAGGGTAAAATGTATTGGTATTTTTTTAATTAAAGGACCCGTTTTGCAGCCAGATATAAGTCAAAGCAAACTGTGGCCGAATTCTTGTAGGAAGGGTCATGCGCGGGCGGATTTGTCCTATTAATAGGACACAGGAAGAGCCGGGAGAGCAAACGCCTGCCCTGAACACAGCGTGGGATGTTATTTGAGGTAATAGACTGAGGGCAGGCACGAAATCAGTACTTTGTGGATGTTCAAACGCGTGGCTATTTCGTGTTAAATAACATTTTAGAAGACGCTCCCCTGGCTTTTCCACTGGAAGGACGCGAGATTATTTGGAAACAGTAGTAAAAATAAGGAGGAAAAAAAATTGCACCAGACGACAGCTCCCTGTGGAAAACTAATCAACATTACACATTGTAAACGTTCTACTATCAGGGGCTACTTTGCTGCAATTAGTTTTAAATAATAAACATATAAATCCAGGAAATAATTGAGACCACAGCGGAGTTTACCTGGAAAAGACTGGAAAGTAACAGAGCCTTCCCGAAAGCCCACATCCAGGGAAGCCTGTGGATGCCGAAAAAATGAGAGTCGGCGGTAAAAAAATAGGGCAGGACACTCCCCCGACCCCCAGCGTCTCCGTGCTTAGGAGGAAACACACGATACGTTTCTAAAAATCCCACTCACCTGATTATTACTTCTGTAGTTAAAATACTGGCTGACACCGTAGATGTTAATCTCATAACATGCGGTTACAGACGTACAGAACATTTAAAACATGACCTCACCAGTTTAAAAGTGAGCATTTTAGGTGAAAAGGCCGCGATAACTATTCATTTCCCCTAACTAGAAATTAATTTATTTTTTAATGAGACCTATTTACGACAGAGACTTCCAAAACAAGATCTCAGTATTTTTGCTTGGACTGATCTTCCTATTCACAGGCAGTAAAACATGCAGAGTTCAGGAGATGTGGGGTTTGTGGTTGGTTTATTTTTATTTTATTTTATTTTATTTTAATTTTATTTATTTTATTTTATTCTATGTTACTTTATTTTATGGGTTTTTTTCTATT